GTTATACGATTGATTTCTAAAAACCAGCAGGTGATTTTAATTTGAGCATGATAATCTTATTATTGGATGAATGAACTTCACAAAACTCTTTTGTCCTCCCTTCCTTTATTGATGAACACAAAAGGAGGATTCTCCAGTGCTCTTCAGTATAAAACATGTCTTAAGGTGTTTGCAAAACAGAGACTAAACAAATTCCCCACCCCTTTGAAAAAATTTAAACAAGTTTCAAGGATAATATTAAGTTTCGGTAACAATATCGTGGTCAAGATAATGATAAAAAGATTGACAGTCTTCTTGACATCATCACATCCATACTGCAGCCGCAATGTGTAATCATCGGAAAAGGGCTGGAAAGGATTGGAAAGGAAGCGATTAGAATGAAGGAATGATCAGACTATACTATGGCCATAAGAGTTATTTAATCAAGACTTCGGGCCACGTGGCAGCTCCACTTCTGGCTGCCCGAACGTAAAACGACATTGGCCACACCTGAACCCACGCGTCTTCGCACCTCCGCACCCCTCTCACAGCAGCTGGTATTATATCATGAACAGCTGACACTGATTGACACTGATAAAGGATACAGGCATTCCCGTTTTCAGTCCTAATGGCATGCTATACGAATTATTAGGTTGTCTCATAAACAGTGTCGCTTTTTTTCATCCAAAAAATTTTCATCTAAACCTCCATGCTTTTACATCGTGTTGTGTACCATTCGAAAGAGAATTGTCTGCTCTACAAAATGCTATGTCCCACTTCCACATTTCTTCCAGGGTTTTCAAATTTTGGGCCTGTGAAATGGGAGGTCCGGCCGACAAAAAATGGCCAAACCGACAACTATCTCTAACATTATCTTTCCTTGGGAGAAATCAATCTATGATGTACCTTCTACTTATGCATGACCTCTTCTAATCATTACACTACTAGGTTTTCCTACAAATCGCGTCGTTCAATTTCCAGAGCTGGTTTTTCAACCAGAACTCGACGATCGAGCACCATTACCTGTGATCTAGGTCGAAATTTTTTTATGGCCGAGACGTTGAAGAACTGGTTGAATTTGAAGAACAAGTCATGACTAAGTTAGGAATGTACGACTGGTTGATTTTCTCATTTTCTAAGGGATAATTTTTTTCAAAGAAATGTGGTCACTTTCGCGGTAAAGCACCTTATACCGAAACATCTAAAATTCGAACTAATTCCCAACAAACAGAGAAACAAAACAAATGAGCGAGTAGAGCAGAAGAAGTGCTCGTAAAAGGAACACCACTCGATATGAAACAATGACGTTTACGAGGAACAATTTTAATTTGAAAATTGCTATGGCTTATCCGTCAGCCAATTCGAAAAGAAAAACGGCAAAGCTTTTTCGGCAACCTAAGAGTGGAATGTTTAGAAGAGGTCATGGGTAAGTATAGGGTATATCACTGGTTGATTTCTCCCCAGGGAAAATAAAGTTACAGCCAGTTGTCGGTTTGGTCAATTTTTGCCGGCGAGACCTCCCATTTTGCTGGCCTGAAATTCGAAAACTCTGAAATAGCGGTGGAAGCGGAACACAGCATTTTGTAGAGCAGACAATTCTCTTTCGAATGATATATAAAACGATGTAAAAGTTTCATGATTTAGATGAAAATTTTTTGGTTGAAAAAAAAAAAAACGACATCACTTATGAGACAACCTAATAACTTCCATTTGTACATTCGTAGTGGCGTTTGAATGCGATGTGGCCTATACAATGACTTGCGGGGGCCAGCCGATGTTCAAGTCAGTGTTTTTATCCTCCCAGACAAGTCTGGTACCAATTAACCGACCCCGGAGGGATGGAAAGGCTTGGTTTCCCGGGCGACTCACGACCCAGGATTTGATCCCCGGACCGCTCGCGTGGTAAGCGTGCCCACCACACCACTTCCGCCATTGGAACTGATAAGTTATCAAAAACGAGTGATACGGTCATCGCTACAGGGCCACTCATCCCGAAATTAGCTGAGCTGATCGCCATCCTGACATTGTCGGAAGTTCTTGGTAAACACCATCCGCTATACCAGCACCTAGCATAACTCCATGTGGTTGATAAGAAGCGATAACAGCTGACAAGCTGCACGGAAGATCTAACCTATGGTCAACTGGAGTAGGTTGCTCCTGAAGTCCCCCCCGCATAAGATATGGCTAAACACGTGCGTTGAGATTAGCCTAAGGATTTGTTAGCACATATTGTATTTATTTTATTCTCTTGATGATTTTGACAACAATGTTTATAGAGATGTTGTTGTGATGTTTAAAATGACGTCAGATTTACAGTGGAAACGTAACGTTCCTTCTTTAGACCCAACTTTCTTCCTCTGTCTATACCGAAATCTCTAGCCGGACAGCTTTTGAAGTTACATTCGAATCCGCCTGCTTTTTTTATTAGCCAGGTAGTCTGTTTTGTCAAAGATTTTCTTCTTCTTCGTCTGATCGTTAGGAGAAGGGTAAATGGTTTATTATTTTCAGTTTCTGTGGTATTTGGATGCAGAAGCTGACAAGCTGAAGAAAGCTTCTCAACCTCTCCATATCTATGGTTCTTCGACAAAGGTACGTTTTGTCCCCTATGCAAGAGCGTCTAGCTATACGACTGTGGTCTGCTCATCTCCGGCGTTAAATCCGAGTGGTTCAAGTTGTTATTAATAGTTGAGCGGTGCAGCCTGTAGAGAAGGCGTCATGCATCTGATGGGCCACGGGATCAAAACTTCGCTTTGCTATAACATATCTGACGCCATTCTGAACTCGGGTAATGCCAATATCCCACGACACGAGACAAGACCGTCTGGGGCGAAAAACCTCTCTGTGTTTGCTATTCCGCTGCAAGTGCACACTGCATGTAGAGTAGCAGCACGATTCCGCTGCATCCCGTTATTTACCTCCCCGTAGGCAAGAAGGATGGCGTATCTCAATAACGGCTTGTCAACGCCGACCACTTCACCATCATATTTCCAGCACTTTATTCCAGGACCGTTGTTGGCTTGCAAATTCGCCGTACTGATAAAGTTGGCACAGAAGCGGCGTTCCACTCGGTCGAAGAGTACATGTTATGGACAGAGCGGTGGTTTAAAGTGAGTGAGAAATAAAAATTATTTTTGTCGGTGAAAATTTTTAAGGAGCAATAATATTAGGAAGGTGCCAGTACGATCTTCTTGATTTTTCTAGATCCAAGACCGCAAACACGGACGAAACGTCGCCCGACGAGTATTCGTCGCAACCGACGATCCATCAGTTTTTCCTGAAATCAAAAAGAAGTGAGTTATGATGCTGTTTCAAAAGATGGCCCTATGAAAATGCATGCTTGGTCACTTCCAAGAAACAGCCAAGAGAGAAGCTACCCTGCGAGGGGAGGAGGGGGCGTTCACCTCCTCTAATAGGTCAGGTCACCAAAGCTTCGAAATTTGAAGATCATCTATAGGTTGGGTTTAGGCCCATAAGCAAGTCTGAGATGTTTTGATCGCAGGGAAATGGTACGAATCCGCTCACTCTTGGGTGACCTCTCTTTTGGGGTGACATAGAAGAACCAGATTTTCAGAACGTTGGACATTTTTACGGGATTCGGAGATATTTTGAGGATCTCTGTTTTATCTGCAATCTCCATCCTTGGCTGTCCCTCTAGACAGTGCTGATTTGGGTGCAAATTTCGAAAGTGCCAATATAAACCAGGTCAGTTGACACTATGAACGCCATCGCATTGAAGGGGGTCGTGTAGGAGGCCTCTGCAGGCATTGGAGGCGCCGTCAGATTTCAAATTTTTCCAACTTAGCACTTCAAACTTTCATGAGGTTTCCATGCCCATTGGCCATTAGACTCTCCCGTCAACCAGACTTATTTCTGACGACATTAGCGCCAATTCGAGCGGCTGTTTCCCATGAACCGTTGCACAAACCTTAAAGCAACAGTCCCAGCAGGGTTTTACCTTCGACACTAATGGTGTGGAACGATGCGCTAGCCCTAGTCAAGAACATAAGAAGTGTGACTGAACAAAAAACTCACCTTGGAAAGCCGCTAGAAAGGGAGCTGAACGGCTTCGAAGTGGGCGTGTCCCCTCGGCCGATACTGCTACTGTAGCTTTAAGTCCATTGGCGCGTCTATACCACTGTGTGGAAATCAAAGGCTTCGTGGGTTGTGGAGAGGTGCAATGAAGACTACCTACCTGCCGTGAATCATCGATATTCTGAGTTGTGTTGCAGATTCCCGTCGTATGAAGTGTTCGGTGACGAGAAAACGGCACACACTGCTCAGCTGGAAAGTCGCTACAGCGACAGTTCACTGTACGGAGTTGTGAGGGATATTCGACTTCTCAGTCATTGTGACTACCTCGTTTGCACGTTCTCCAGCCAGGTAAATCATGTTTCGGAAAAAATACACTATGGCTCAAAATTATAAAGATAACAGTAACGAGTTGTGTCG